TGCAGGCCATAGACTGCTACAAGTGCACATCCATCAATGGGACGAGTGAGGAGTGTGAGGACACCTTTGATCGAGGCAGTAAAACTGTACATCTGATAGAGAGGGGCTGCTTCTATGGCTTGTTTCGAGGCACCCACTGCATCAAGTTCAAGGGTGAAAGAGGTAGGTATTTTCCTGGTGTAATGTTCACAATAGCATTTGTTACTTCCATAAACAGAGATCAGTTGACGGTGCTCCTTGCAGAATGGCAAGCATCACTTCATAGGTCGTAGTAGTTAACATCCTTTGGATATTTTCTCCAGGTCATGCCGCTATGTTGAGAAACGAAAAGGCAGACAGACGAGCTGGATTTGCATTGTCTGGTGGTTAATTGATGTTTGACCAGCTGAATGTTGCCCTGGCTCTTTGACAGCGAGTTAACGGTGCGGAGGCACAAAGAGATCATCACCGTCTGTAGAGAAGGGTGCAGCAAAAAGTGAGCAGACGATCTGGCCGGCAATCAATACTCGGGGAAAAGCAAGACCAATATATGCATTCACACTGCTACTAGTACTACCAAAATAGGAACTCTTTTCTGGCTGCTGAAGATGAGGTCTGTGCACTATTGGGAATGTCCTCCGTGCTCTGATATCGCTTCTTAACTCAACTGTCTACTCATAGCGTGCAGGCTCACAAGTGACTCGTTTCTGTCTCTGATTTGTTTCTTTTTTTCCTTTTAAATGTATTTTACAACCATAACTTTTATTCTAAATTTATACAGAATTCTAAAATTATTAGTTGAAATTCGTCGTCATTTTTATGTGAAAGTGGAGGAAGATGACTACCCTAACTGATGTCGACGTTCTCCGCACCACTCGTCTTGATACTTTGGATTATACTCTCGTAACTAACACAGTTTGTTCAGGTTAATTTTTATTGTTTATTTTAAAGATCATTTTTATCGCTCATTGGACATAACTATAAGTGCTCTCCTTCTAAATATGTCTTCAGGTTTTTTTAAGGCTAACTCCAATTCTGTTCTGGTGGATGTAACGACGGGTGGCTTCCCCCTTGTTTTCCTTTCTCGCGGCTCCAATTATTACTCCCAGGGTATGTAGTCTATTCAATGAACAATCATTTACCATGAGACTGAAAGCCTCACAGCGTTTAGCCTCTCTTATGACATTGGTGATGTCTCAGTTCAGGTTGTTGTTTCTCGGAAACAAATACTTTGACTACGTCTTTCGGTACCAGAAGCTCACAGTATGTTCATCGATTACTGATTTTGAGTGACACTTTCCTCTACTCTTTCTTCTTTTCTTCTGTTATGCTAACCCATTTTATCCAGCGGTAACAGAGTCATAGAGCGTGCTTCAGAAAACTGAGACTGGTGTCCTGCGCCCAGAGAAGCTTGCATCACTTGATAAGACCCAGATCAGGAGCATATCGTGGACTTACTGTCCATGATATTCAGGTGTGCGAGGCAACGAGCAGTCTGATAAATTGGCTGCTGCCGCTCATGGAGGTAAGCTACTTCATGATAAAGCAGACGTGGTGAAAGCTCTAGCTTAATTTCCTATAGGTAAACAATAGGATTTAAATTAGAATTTCGAGTGCATGCATCTTCCCTGTGGCTACATACAGATGTGAGTCGTGGACCATCTCTTAGTCCTTAAGAAAGAGAATAGGGGATTTTGAGCTAAAATGCTTTAGAAAGATTCTCAGAATATCTTGGACAGAGAAGTGGAAAAATATTGACATCTTGAAAGATCTAAACATCAAGAAAGATTGGCTAAAAACAGCATCCTGTCTCGGAAGCTGAAATATGTTGTTCATATCAAGCGCCGGATTTGAAAAAAAAAATTAAGGCAAAAGGCATGGTGCCAGGAAGTAGGGGCAGGGGCAGACCGACACGAAAATAGGCACAGGATATAAGTGACTCCTTGAGTATAAAAGTATATAACGCGGGAGAACTGACGAGAGACCTAGTTTCTTTCTGGCAGACTGTGATGACAGCGATGTTCTGCAAAGGACCTGCTACACGATGATGAAACAATTGGGTAAACTAATCTTTCACACGGCAATTGTATTTTATTTAACAAGCACATCACGTTCCTAAATCAACATTCACAGTTTAAATGTAAAGTGAAATTTAAAAGAAAAGCTTGGCTGGCAAAAGCTTATCTTTAAATGAACATGCAAAAATGCACACATACACACTCACATGCATGCACATTCACGCGGAATCAGCAATAACTGATGCCACACACACAGACACACGCAGACCTAGACAAACCAGCACGCTCAGACAGAGCCACACACAGACACATCACTTACTGACATACATACACACACACACACACACACACAGACGCACGCACACCAGACTAACCTGCACACACAGATAGATCCATGCACAGACACGTCACTTACTCACACACACACACACACACATACACACACGCACACACACAGAAACACGACTCACCCCTAGACTAACCGGCACACACAGACAGAGCCATACACAGACACTACACGGATAGACAATATTAATACTAAGTTAAGGCCTACTTTTGATAGAACGAATTAGAGAAATAACTCAAAAGTTTAACTTATATCCTTTTATCTTGAGCGACTTGTGATGCAATATTTGACACAATAGTGAATAAATCTATCAAGAACTGAATCAATGCCCTAAGGACACTCCCACACGTACTCAGTCTCCTTCCGCAGTAGCCCACTGTGACAATACGCTTGGTGACTCCAGAATGTCTTTCCTCAACCTACTTTTATTTCTTTGTATTTTGAAAGTATACAGGAAAATAGGGATTTGGATACATCCTTAATCTAAGTAAGATGACCACATCAAACCTTTAATTCTCCTGGACCGTTGGTCATATCAAACACTAAAACTTTTTCCCAGATGTTAAGTGTTAAGGTACAGAGATAAGACTGACCAAGCAGACTTACTGACTGGAGATTTGCACACCATTTGTTGGTGTCAGATATTATCTCCTAGCCAGGACCTTCAGGAACAGATAACAAGGGCTAATTGCCATTATCTCCCCCTGAGGTTACCTAAACTGGAGTGCCGGCCAGATCGTTAATATTGACACAGTGAGCTGAAAGTGTTGGCAGAAGAATTGACAAAGTCTGATTTTATTGTGTGATGACAGGTGAAGTAGACTGGAGGTGTGACTTGGCCTATTAGCTTTGACCAGCTTAATTGAACCTGTAGAATTTAAACAAGTGTTGTACAGCCCTGACTGACAGCGAATAAACTTACCCACAGGGAGGAGCTGTGATATCCTTGAATGAGAATGATTTTAGGCGTAATGTAGGAGGAGCTTGATAAAAGTTACAAAGTGGTGAACTCTAGGTCTGGTAAATGAGATCCTGTCCAGCTCATGCCATCTGTTGGGCTTAACCTAAGCTTGAGACAGAACTTTTGGCATAGTGGTTTCATTTTCCAGGTAAGAACGAAATTAGGTTCAAATCTATATTTTGTGATAGAAATCTAACTGTCTTTTTGCTCAAGTGTGTGTCTTCATCACTTTGTAATACTCCTAGGCGGACATTTCTTCATTCTCGTAGGGCACTGTCACATTGCTTTATATCCTATTTGATAGTGTCATGAATGTTTTTTCGTGCACATGTGTTTCAATGTTGTAAAACCTAAATGTTGTTGTTGCCATTGAAATTTAATGAACTATCATGTTTTTGAAATCACAAGCGTGAAGATAACTTTGGCAATCTTGTCACGTGTGGTTAATGTGAATCTGTATTACATACAGCTAACACACTGAAATGTGTTTAACTCTCGGGAGGCAAATGCGGAGATTGATCCCGGAGAGAAAATCCTTGAGATTTGGTATTTGATTCGCCTCAGAAATATTGTTAGCTTCTCTGGGCGCGTCGATTGTTCCAAGCATAGATTCCAGAAACTGGTTCTGTCTGACTGATTGTCATTTTGAGTCTGTACGAGAGATGGCACCTGACGTAGAAGACTTGACTATCATTACAGGACGTGTAGAGGAAGGCAGAAGATGTAACAGTTGGAATGTGAGACATAAGCCCTTCCAAATTGGACAGGAGTGAATGTGAGCATGAGGGAGAGATGAAATGTTTATTTAAATAAACATGCTTGATGTTAGTATAAGATACATGCTTAGTGTACATCTAGAGCAGATACTACAAATATGCGCTTGTTTCTTCATTCTCCAGTTCCCACATTGGGCAGGGACTAGTAGGCATCCATTATTTGCCGACCGTCGAGTGTAACGACCTGCAGAAAGCAGTGAGGACGACAAACTGGAAAAGATAGGCAGGGTCTCAAGCCGAGAACTGTCCTGACGGTGAATTCTCCTAATAGGAGTTAAGTATATGTACAAACTGTCATCAATCACACTCCCTCAACTCTACTAGCCTAAACAAGTTCATTTTAATTTCGATTTATTCAAATAAATCATGTTTGATGTTATTACAAAATAGTTGAGTAAATTGTGTACTTAGGTTCAAGTGTCTTTGTGCATATTAGTTTACTTCAGCTAACAAATATTTAAATCACTTGAGGGGGCTTTTCAGTAATGCCAGGAGAGGAGATAAGTCGGAGGGGTTAACTGTGTATCTCGATATTATTACAGTGGGTTTATCCTGATATCTATCTATCCCTTCTCCTACTCCTGTGGATACAAGTACAGCAACTTTCATTTCATGGAACGAGCCACTCGCTGTTTTCTTGGCTATCCAGGACTGTCTAGGATCAACATAGCTTAGATAATAGTCCAGTTTCTCACGTGGGTGGGCATTGTTAAGGTTCAAACCCACACCCTCACTATATCAGTGTATTTACCCACGTGGGCGCGCGACACCCACAAAGAATCGACATGCTGATAGTACCTGTTTCAACCTGATTAAAAGTGCGCCTATGTTCTCCCTCAGTGTTGAATATCTTTCAAAACCACTACTTATTCCCATCCACAACCTACTCTCCCGTTGAATTATTCTTTTAGTGTATCGATTCTATGTCTGTTATATTGCACTGTCCATTTAATCCCAGGAGCCTTCATCACGTCAGCTTTATCATAGTGACTCACCACCCAGAGGAGCAGAGGCAGCAGCCAGTCTACCAGACTGCTCGTTACCTGGTACACTTAAATATCCTTGGAGGGGAAGGGGGGGGG